AATTATACTATTGTTGGAAGACGTCCAGGAGATATTCCTGCTATTTATGCTGAATGTAAAAAAGCAGAAGAAGAATTAGGATGGAAAGCAAAATTAACTCTAGAAGATATGTGTAAAGATTCTTGGAGATGGCAAACAAATTATCCAGATGGTATTTAAATAAAATAAGTTTTTCTTTAATATAAGAAAAAGAATTATTTTTTTTTTAATAAAGAAAATTAAAAAAAAAGACATAAAAACTTAAAAAAGGAATAAAGACATAATGAATCAAAATGCGTTTTTTGAAAGCTTTTGTAATACTAATAATATTGTTAAAATTATAATAAATAACCAACAATTTGAAGTTGATAAAAAAGCAATAGAAAGGAATGGAAAAGGGGGAATACTTGATATTCTTTTTAAACAAAAAGCAGGGACAATAATGAAAGGTGAAAATATTATACTTCATGGTGATGAAGAAAAAGCAAGACAATTAAAAGAATATATATCATATATCGAAGCCAATCAAATCTATGTACAAAATTTAAGTTTATATGAAGTAGCACAAAAAGTAATGGATTTAGTCTGTTGTGGAGTTGATTTAGGTGAGGCATTAGATTATTTTAATGCAAGAGATGGTAGTGGAGATGTTGTAGGTGAAATACTTTGTATTATGGGAGAATCTTTTACAACAAATTTTGTTCAAGCTGACCAACAAGGTACATGGCAAAAAATGGTATACGAAGGACTACAATGGGCATTCGCAAATAGACCAGAACAAATTCAAAATAATAGTGATCTTTTAAGTATAATTTATCAAAAATATAATGATTTTAAAGATATTTAAATTCAATTATTTCTCTTCATCTTTTTCTAATTTATTTGGTTCAAGAATTGATTTAACACATAATGGACAAATCAATTTATTATTTGAAGATTCATTTTCTAGTGAAAATGAATTAATTAATTTATTCATTTCTTTAATAACATTATTATTTGGATCTATTTTTGTTGTAATTTTTGCTTTCTGTTTTAATGAACGAATAGTAAATTTATGTTTCTTTGGACAAAAAATTATAATTTCTGAAGGTACTTTGGCAGTTGTTATTAATCTTTGAGCTGTTCCATCAACTGAAAGAATAATTTTTTCTAAACATTTTTGTTTGTTAGGTAGTTTAGAAGAAGTAGTTCTAATATAATTAAGTTCTAATTGAGTAATAATAGTTGGAGTAAAATAACTAACGAATTCATTTTTATTTAATATTAAATTTAATAATACAGAATTAATATAATTATTATTGTTAATAATTGAAAGTAAATCATTTTCAGGTATTTTTCCAATAATATATTTTAAAATAAATATTTCAATATCTTCTTTATTTGGGGAATTTTCTAATTTATTAAAAAGATATTCTAATGTAGTTTCATACTGTTTATAAAGATAAAGTAAAATAGCAGATTCTAATATAAAATTATTTAATTCTAAAAATTGATAAGTTCTAGAGAAATCAAATAAAGGATTATCAAAACCTTTTATTAAAGCGATAATTTTATCAACATCACCAGATATTAAAGGTAATTCTTGTAATAAAACTGCCTTAACATATAAATCATATAAATCATATTTAGCGTAGTCATTAATCATACAAATACAACTAAAAGTTAATGTTTTTGGTTTAATAAGTTGAGTTAAACAATCTAACTGTTGAGGTTTAAGCTGAAACAATAAAGATTCTAATTGAATAATATGAGAAAGATTAGGAGATAATTTAATTGCTTTACATAACATATCAAATTTTTGAAGAATAGTTAAACTATCATATAAAGGAGGTGTATTTAAAATTTCAAAAATTGATTTAGGAACATTTTTAATTAAAGATGAAATAAATAATTGTGGTTCTACAATATTCATTGATAAAGTCCTTATTGTTTTACAATAAACTTTAACAACTTTTAATTCACATAATAATAATAATTCTAAAATATATCTCCAAAATAGTTTAGGATGTTCAACTAATTTAGTCATTGCTTTTGTTCTATTATATAATACTTTTTGATTTAAATATTTAATAAATGATGAATCAGAAGTAATTCCATAATAATAATCTTTAATAATATAAATTGATACAATTAAATCTGCAATTTGAATATTTTCTTCAGAATGTTTTTCAATAGATTCTAATATTAAATCATATTCTTTAATTGAAAGTTTATGGTGAATAAAAATATATCGATAAATAGAATAATTAAATATATTAAACGTTTCTAATAATTTATGTGACTTTATTGGATATTCTTTTACAAGAATTTTTGCCATTGCAATAATTGTTTCTTTAGAACTTTCATATCCTCTTAAAATTGAATACATTTTATTTTGTTTTTCTATATCTTCTTCAATTTTTAATTGATTAATAATG